ATATAGCATCGCATTCATCTTATCGCAAGTTGGTGGTTTGAGCTTGTCACAGGGTTCAGGACAATCTACGGGTGTACATGAAGTTGGAAAAGCTTTCAGTGGATGGTATTGGCAGTTACCGTGCCGACGATTTGCAGCAGAGCCACAGCAGTAGACCCCACTTCCATCTGGAGACTAGTAACGACACACACGCTTGGCTCTGTATGTTCGCATTCAAGTGTCTTTACAGCCTTCTATTATCTACTATAGCCATATGAAGGGTTCTCTGGTGGTTAGTATCGTCACACACGCTTGGCTCTGTATGTTCACTTCCACGTCTCTTTACAGCCTTCTATTTTCTATTATAACCATATGAAGGGCTCTCTGGTGACTAGTAACGACACACACGCTTGGCTCTGTATGTTCGCATTCAAGTGTCTTTACAGCCTTCTATTATCTACTATAACAATATGAAGGGTTCTCTGGTGGTTAGTAACGACACACACGCTTGGCTCTGTATGTTCGCATTCACGTTTCTCTACAGCCTTCTATTATTACTATAACCATATGAAGGGTTCTCTGGTGACTAGTAACGACACACACGCTTGGCTCTGTATGTTCACTTTCACGTCTCTTTACAGCCTTCTATTTTCTATTATAACAATATGAAGGGTTCTCTGGTGGTTAGTAACGACACACACGCTTGGCTCTGTATGTTCGCATTCACGTTTCTCTACAGCCTTCTATTATTACTATAACCATATGAAGGGTTCTCTGGTGACTAGTAACGACACACACGCTTGGCTCTGTATGTTCGCATTCAAGTCTCTTTACAGCCTTCTATTATCTACTATAACCATATGAAGGGTTCTCTGGTGGTTAGTAACGTCACACACGCTTGGCTCTGTATGTTCACATTCACGTTTCTCTACAGCCTTCTGTTTTTTATTATAACCATGTGAAGGGTTTCATAGCAGTCGTCTGCTATGTTGATATCGCGAGTTACTTTGTAGCAGTGGAATACTACGTTGATATGAGGGATTGGTCGTAGAAGTAGGTTAGAGTTACTGCCCTTTGGAATAGCAAAAGGTTTTCATTGTAGCCAATTGTATGTCTTCTCATCCCTAACGGTGTTGAAAAGAGATGTATTATATGTACTATATAAGTTTTAGATTACTTTGCCATCGCATTGGCCCATCTTTCCACGCCCATAGACCCCCTTTTCCAAGCGAGTTGCTCGAGAGTACCCACAGTCTTTTGCATTGCACGGCACTGATCGCAGCACTACCAGACCGGTTATTTGTGTTGTTTGTACTGTAAGTACTGTATGGGCTGTCTTCACTCTGTGTAGGTTGGTGCATGTCCTCGCTCTGTGCAGGTTGTTGCATGTACGTCTCTATGTGCTGGACATTCTCTTGGCCTGGTCGCAGCTGATGATAGTACCTTGTATACTATCCCCAGTACTAATTGTAGTACAAACTGTCCGCCGCAGGTTGCCTCCGCGAGTTGGGGTTCATTTACCTACACGCTCACGAGCACTTACTTCAGTCCGTGGCACACATCTGCTACCTCGAGCGACTCAGCATCCGCTCCGTGCGAGGGCTATCGCAGAGTAAGAAGTGCCGCGGTCTCTAGTTGTTGAATGCGGTCAATCGCATGCACGTGCTTGGTAGTCGAATAGAGCTAGGAGCGTATGATACGTTAACAGTAGCTGTGCACGGAAGATTCTCTGGTATTGTAGGTTGTATATATGTATGTATGTATATATGTATGTATATATGTATGTATGTATGTATTTATGTATGTATGTATGTATGTATGTATCTATGTATCTATGTATCTATGTATGTATATTTGTTTGTATGTATGTATGTATGTATGTATGCATCAATCTATCTATCTATCTATCTATCTATCTATGTATGTATGTATGTATGTATGTATGTATGTAGAGATGTTTGTATGTATGTATGTATGTATGTATTTATATATGTATGTATGTATGTATGTATGTATGTATGTATGTATGTATGTATGTATGTATGTATGTATGTATGTATGTATGTATGTATGTATGTATGTATGTATGTATGTATGCTATGTATGTATGCCTGCATGTATGTATC